AGCTTGTCCCTCTTATTCCTGTCCACCCCCATGCTTACACTCCTTCAACTGGCAATCAGATAAAATACTTAGAGTTACTTTTTGGTGTTTGCAGTCTAACAAGTACTTCTGCATTATCTTCCTCATTCTCTTTGGTTGTAGTGCCAAGAAACATTCCTATACCATTCTTTTTTTAAAATACTTGCTACAGGCCCTGGCGCTACCGGGATCTGTGTTTCCCTTTTATCTATATAGCTTTGCTTTTCCCAGTGGAGCACAGCTGTTCATGGGCATGCCAGTGTGGGCGAGTGCATCTGACTGAGAATGAGTCTTGTAGGTGATATGAACTATATCACAGGTAAGTTACATGTCCTTGGAATCTTGGCAGCTTCAGTTTGCACACTGAAAACCTTAAACGTTTTTCTCTTGGTTGATTTCTTGTGAAGGCAATTGATCCATAGCTCCTAGTGCGCTCCATAGTTTCCTTTAATCTGATGAGTTGCCACTCTTAGCAATGTGTCGCTTTTCCGCTATAACTGACTATTGTCTAAGGAATGTGGCTATGAAGCTATCCTTCTCTTCACAGGTGCACAGTTTGGGCTCAGGGGAGCTGCCGTCTTCTGTACCTGTGACCCTCTGTAGGAGCCATTGAGTGTCCTCGGACCTTTTGCCTTTCCTTGCACCTTTCCTTAAATCTCAGATTAATTTAGCTTTACTACTTTATTCCATTTCTGTTTTTGCCAGGCTTTGGGGTGCTAGTAAAGTTATCTGATGCTGCCTTAACTCCTCTGCCGACTTCAGACATCCTGCTTTGCTCAACACCTGAACAATACCTGGCATATCTTTCTCCCTTCCTGATTCCAATACAGTAGGGTTTTCAGACCATTCCTGTTCTTTTCAAGTCTCCCTCCTTTCTTTCCTTCCCCTTCCCTCTCTCCTTATCTTGCTTTTGGTGGATGACTTTACTACCTTGCTAAAATGGGAGATTGTTTATAAAGCACTAGGAGTCCAGTCTTGAGAAGAATGCTTACTTGGATAAAAAACACCCCCACCTCCACCCCAAACACACACACACACACACACACACACACACACACACACACACACACACACTTACACACCAAGTCCAGTAAGTTACTGAGGTTATAGTTAGCTTATCTTAAGCAAGTCAAATAGCAATTTCCTCACATGATTCTTAGGGTTGTATTACAAAAGCTAGGGATAAAGTCACTTGATATTAGCAGTTTATAGGAAAGGTGTCAAAGCATTGCTGGTTTTGGAAGTTTAGTTTTAAGCAGAATCTTTCTCCCATTTTCAGCTTTTCTTAGAATGTAATGTAAAGATTTTTTTCCTCGGGGTTGGGGATTTAGCTCAGTGGTAGAGCGCTTGCCTAGCAAGTCCCTTAGTTCGGTCCTCAGCTCTGGAAAAACAAAAACAAAAACAAAAACCTTCTTCCTCTAGTGGTGGTGGAATTTAGTGCTCAGAGTCACAGCAGTGGTGAGGCAAGGGGCCAGTTTTGATTTCTCAGTAAGGCCCAATGGATAGGAAAATTCTTTATTTCCTTTCTTTTTGAAGGGATCTACTGGGCCACAAACTACGAAAGTGCATATTCCTGGGCCTATCACTAGATATAGATTAAATACGTCTGTGATGGTTTCCAAATATTTCCCTTTTAAAGTAATTATCTTATGTGATACTGATGCAGCTCATCCCAGGGAGAGCTTGTCTTTGGAAACAACCATCAAACAAACTTATAAGTATACCTTCACTCTTTAAAAAACTTTAAAAAAAAAAAGTAGAACGGGATTTCACTACGGTGAGACCTGCTGGGAATTTCTTTTGTAGCTTACACTGGCCTGGAACTCCTGCTCCTGCTTCAGCTTCCTATGCTACAGTCTTCACTCATTTTACCTCCTTTTTTGTCTCAGCAGTATGAGAGCTTGTTCTCTTCCAAAGCTGATTTTTCTATGGATGCTCTTTATTCCATTCCCTTGGTTTCAGTTTTTTAAACACTAGGGTCTCACTATGTATGGAGGCCCACAAAGGTTTCCTAGTGAGGTCTGAACTTGCTTTACCCAGCAGAGCTGCATTAGAGGATTGCTTGACCATGTGCATGGTTACTAGGTGATTGGAAGGGTCTACTCCTGGCTGAGCTAGGGGGAGGTCTTCTGTTCCACCCCTTGGCATTCCTATAAATAGAATAAGTAGAATAAGATAAGCAACAAGACAAAGGAACTTTTTGTCCTTGATTTTTCAACTTTGGGACTATAAACACAATCTGGGAAGAATCAGAGTCATGGAAAAATACTATAAAAGAAAACAGGCAGAAAAAGATTCCTATGGAAGCTTTTGGCCTGTGGACAGCTTAGATCTAAGCCCTGAGCAGCACAAAAAGAATTTTCCCTGAGACAGATGTAGATGAAATAAAACTCTTCATATGACTCTGGCATCACCACTATATGAAAACATTGTACCATTAGAATTAGTTTCCTCTTGGCCATGAAGCCAAAGTTTAAGGAACAGAAGTCTTGGGAAAAACTTAGTAATCTTTCTCTAAAAATCTGAAAGCTTTTCAGGTCATTTCTTCTCAGATTTTTTTTTTCTTTTTGTAAGGACAAAATAGATTGACCTGGCAATAACATCTATCAGTATGGGAAAGTCACCTGTAATTGCTCTAGAAAAAACAAAAAACCTCTTGAAATATGACAAATTCTCTCTGCTAGTCCTGTCTCTCCTTCAAGCCAGTATTAGCCAGAATCCCTTGCAGCCAGAGCCTACACCCAAGAAAATGCAGACAGAGAGCTGAGCAGGGACAGCTTCCTCCCAAAGTGGAGCCACAGCAGAGGTGGTGCAGGACCCAGGGAGAGGCTGCTGGTGCAAAGGAAGCAGTGAAGGCTTTGAAGTCCTCCCTGTAATGGGGGAGGCAGGGTCTAAGTTCCTAGAAGTAATAACAGCATGAAAAAAGCTGAGGAAAACTTTGCCCAAATAGAAACAGGAACTCAAGCCCTTACCCCCAGAACAGAAAGCAGTTAGCAGAGAAACGGAGCCTAAAGCATCAGGGACTCTGCAACTTGGGGGAGGGGACAAGCAGGGACAAGCAGAAGATCTATCCAGGGGAAAAAAAAATCTTACTGAAAAAGCTTTGTTTCAAGTACTTTCATTTTCCTTCACTGACCTGGTAAGGCAGGAGACAAGTGCCAATCCGAAAGCACGTGCAGGTGGGTGCAGCCCACTCCAGGGACAATGTCAAGTGAAGGAAGTACACCTGTCAATGCAAGCTCAAGAAGAACAGAAACCTACCATGGCAAAAAACAGCTCACTTGATCTTGATTTTCAGTATGAAAACAAACCATGTAAACAGAAACGGGAGTGCAGCAGACCCGAAAGGCAGCTTGGGAAATGTAGTCTGTAACATAGTTTGTAACAGCATGATGTTATAGAGAAAGGCAGCTTGGGAAATGTAGTGCACAAAAGTGAGGTGGCATAGGCAAGCAGACCTGGAGAAAAAGCAGATAGACTGGGACAAAAAACTTTCAGATGTTCCCAGTAACTTAGCATCAAAATGCCCAAGGGAAATCCTGCCAGTATAGCCTCTCCAAAAACCCCCAATTGCCATTTTTTTCCACAAGCTTTGTTAGCTTGCCTCCTGGGAATGAGAAACAGGCAAACAGCTTGCCTATCAGGTGGGAATTATTTGCTATGGAAGAGTGAGAAACAGGTGATGTCTGTCAGAAAGCAATTAAAATGCTAAGACGCTTCTCAAGTCATTTTGAAATCCTTGACAAATGAGGATAATCAGAGAAGTTTTTTTTCCTTTAGAACAACAGCCTGCAGTGAGTGATTCCTTTGCAAATATAATGGGGAACAAGGAAGCATGTATTTAGAAAGGAGTGACTGTTTTGTAGATGGGGACGAAACTCCAGAAAATTTAGCTGTCTTACAAAATAGAGTCACTTCACTTGAAAGTTTCCCACAAGAAAACAATGCTAAATTAGAATGTTTGCTTAGTGAATGCACTGATGCTTGTGAGAATAGGAAAAATGTGCCAAGTACTGAAGATTGAAAAGCTACAGCTACAGTCTGAGCTGAATGACTCATCATCAGAGTGTGTCAAAGCTACTGATAAAATTGACATCAGGGGTTGAGAAGCTAGCGAATGAAATGAAAATATAAAATCATGAAAATGTTGTTTCTCAGAGTGAGTCAATGAAAGATGTGTTTCGTGATAAATAAAACAACACATCTGGGCCGGGCGGTGGTGGCGCATGCCTTTAATCCCAGCACACGGGAGGCAGAGGCAGGCGGATCTCTGTGAGTTCGAGGCCAGCCTGGTCTACAGAGCGAGATCCAGGAAAGGCGCAAAGCTACACTGAGAAACCCTGTCTCGAAAAAACCAAAAAAAAAAAAAAAAACAAAAAACAAACAAACAAAAAAAACACATCTATGTTCTTGTCTCTTTTGGACAGTAGCAGTTTCTGTGAACAAATAACTTTATCAGAAACACTGGTCTAATAAAAATCTATCAAAGACAAGGCATCATTGAAAGAGCTTATGACAGTTTAAAAAGCAACTTTAAAAAAAATTAAGAAGGGGGAAATTGTACCCTCAGAAGCTTGATGGCTCTCTTAGAGTTTGGTACAAGGTATGGAAAAGGGAGATTCTGACTTAAACTCTCAAGAAAACTTTCAGAATATACCAAAGCTGACTATAAACTCTGAACTTTAGAAATGATTTGCGTACTTCCTGTCTTGTTAGAAGAAAATGTAATAGTTCAGTTAAGAAATCTCTTCTAGATGTTTGCTAATAGAGTTTGCTTTTGAATGTAAGTTAGTTCTGTTAAGAGATTCTTTCTAGTGTAAGTTAGGTCTGTTAAGAGATTCTTTCTAGATGTTTGCTAATAGAGTTTCCTCTTGAATATAAGTTTGGTAAATAGTTCTTTTTTTTTTTTTTTTTTTTTTTTTTTTTTTTTTAAAGATTTATTTATTATGTATACAATGTTCTGCCTGCATATATGTCTACAGGCCAGAAGAGGGCACCAGATCTTATTACAGATGGTTGAGAGCCACCATGTGGTTGCTGGGGATTGAACTCAGGACCTCTGGAAGAACAGTCAGTGCTCTTAACCTCTGAGCCATCTCTCCAGCCCGGTAAATAGTTCTTTTAAGACACCTCTTCTAGATATGTGCTAAAATTTGTAAAATAGTTTTATAGAGTATCCTTTTGAATATAAGTTTGTAAAAAGTGTAAATATGTATAATGTAAGTTTGTAAAAAGTGTAAATATGAATAGTGATAAAAAGTGTAAGTATCTATAACAGTTTTATTCACACCAGTTGTAAATATGTAAATGTGTATAGTAATGTTTATACCAGATATATTTGAACATTAAAATATAATTTTAACTTAAGTGAAGGTGTCATAATTAGGGGAGCTTTTCTGTCTTCTTTTTAAAAGTTTCCGCTCCTCTGTTTAGAAGAAAAGGGGTAGTACAACTAAGACTGCTGTAGTCACCTTAGACCCATTCCAATAAGGATATTCCATCTTTGTTATTCTCTACTCCTTTACTGGGAGGTGTGGCAGCTATGAAGATCACTGTGAATGTTTGCAAGCTCTTAGTAGGGACCTGAGTCAGAGCTGAGTTAGGCTCTGTAACCTCTCTTGCCAGGGGCTGGTAGTCAAAGACGGGCAGCTTTTTCTTGATAACTTCCTGAATGTATGTATGTAAATAAATCAAGAAGGATGACCTAAGACAGGCACAGTCTATCTGAGGGACCTGGGGGGCCCTTTATTATATCAAAAGGGGTGAGTTGTGGAGGCCCACAAAGGTTTCTTAGTGAGATCTGAGCATGCTTTAACCAGCAGAGCTGCATTAAAGGATTGCTTGACCATGTGCATGGTTACTAGGTGATTGGAAGGGTCTACACTTGGCTGAGCTAAGGGGAGGTCTTTTGCTCCATCCTTTGGCATTCCTATTAACAGTCCTTTAGAAGAGACAGGAGAGGCCAGTAGATAATAATCCAGGCCCTCCTGAGGCTATAGTGTGTTTCTATCTGTTTCTCTCTCCTCTATCCTTCTATCTAATATCTCTTATCCCTCACTCCTCAAGAGTACCCTGGGGTAAAATGTGGGAGCTGGTCTCCCAGCTGGGCTCCCACAACTATGTGTCTGTAGATGTAACCAATCGTCTTATTAAATAAGAAACACAGAACCAATGCAAAGAAGAAAGCCAAGAGGTCAGAGCTAAGAGCTAAAACCTTACCCTTACTCCTGCGGTGGTCCTACCTCTCTGAAAGAGACCTACTTCCTGTGTTAAAGTCTTTATATAGACTTTCGGTTCTGCCTTCTCATTGGTTGTAAACCCAACCACATGACCACCTCATCACTGCCTGTCTGTATAGACCTCCAGGTCTTCTATGATTGATATTGAGATTAAAGGCATGTGTCTTCAATGCTGGCTGTATCCCTGAACACACAGAGATCTACCTAACTCTGCATATCAAGTGCTGGGATTACAAGCGTACGCCACCACCGCCCGGCTTTCCTATGGCTTGCTAATAGCTCTGACCCCTGGGCAACTTTATTTATTAACATACAAATAACATTTTAGTACAAAATAAAATATCGCCATATTTCTCCTTTTCTATTTTAATAAAAAGAAAAAAGGAAAAAGCTTACAACTAACATAAGAAAAACTATATACAAAAGTACAATAACTATATACCATATATACAAGTAATAAATACCTAAACAATGTCTAGTCCATTTGTATTTGACAAATTCAGAGAAAATAATGCCATTATCTATCCTATTTTGGTAAGTCCAAAATGTATCTAATTCACTTTCTATCCTAATTGATCTTCAACTATAACTAACTAATCTTCAACTCCCTCAGAGACCCAAGAAGGAAATAATATTAGTTGACAAAAATAAAAACAGGAAGTACATGCAAGCAACTTCCAAAAAATTGTGAGTTGACAGAAACCGCCAGCTGCCTGGACAGTCATCTGAGGTTTCTCCACAGTGTTGGGGCATCATCTTCAGCCTATAGGCTTAGCGTGTCTGACAGACTCATTTGTGAAGTAGGATGTACACAAGGTCAACAGTTCAACCTCACATTGGGTGAGAGCAGTCCATGTACCAGAAACACCTGAATTCCACTAGGGTCATGTCATGATTCAGGATTTTAAATTCTGGAAATTGTTGATGTTTTTTGAATTCAGCTGTCCATTCTTCTTGGGTATGTGTGTTTGTGGCTTCATCTCAGCATCCCGTTCTTCTCCACATCCCTCTATTAAATGCCATTCTACTATTGAGAGGTGTGAGCTTAGTTACTCTTCAAGAATAACTGTTTAAGCTGCTGTTCCATTGCACATCATAAGCCCACTGCCTGTTCAGCTGCCTTCGAAGAAAAGGGCACTGAACCTTTCCCGGATTGCGAAGGCCACTTCAGGGATGGTGCCATATTGTCCTGGCCTCAGAAGATGCCTTTTGATAAAACCATAACCACACTTGTTTTGGCAAGAATCGGTAGTCCTTTGTTTCGTGTCCTGTCTGTTCTGTTTGTCAGCAGTTGATTCAAGGATACTTTGTTGTCCAGTGGCTAACTTTTGCCACAATGAAAGTTAACTCCAATTGCAGTTTCTTCAATGCCCATATTTTCTCTGAAGTAGATTGATACTGCCAGGAGCCTATATGTCTCATAGTCATAACAAAAAAGAAAAATTTTCTAAGTTATTAAAACATTTTAAATGCCATCTTCTGTAGATCTCTGAAGGGTTTGAAGATGACCTGTCTATCTAAAATATATCTGCTCAATCTTGAAAACATACCTAATATGACTACAAGTTCTATTATAATGTCTAATTACTAACTTTCATTTCTTTATATCCTAATAGTTGGTAATAACAGCATTCAGGGATCAGAAAATTGCATTACATTGTTAAATGAACGGTATAAGTACAATTACAAATATACATATAGCATTTTCTAACAATATCAATTTCAATATATATAATTTGTATACAATATAAAACAATCCAATCCAATGTAAAGTATTTATATTTTTCTTTTCTTTTTTTTCTTTTTTTTAAATAAGAACCTTAAATCTAATCTCCTTTGCTTAGTCCTTTTCCTAACCCTTGACAACAACTTGTAACCAACCCCCCTAATCAATGAAAATTATCCCAGACCCAAAACCCATTAAAAGACCAAAAAAAAAAAAAAAACCAAAAAAACAAAAACAAAAAAAACCCACCCACCCCACACCACCTATTTGGGAATGTGGGCATCGTATTCTTAAAATTGCTTCCTGTTGGGTATGGGCGAAGGTATCTTTATCCTGAAAAGAAAAATTTTAGGTTAATTGTCAAATTCTAGGAAAGGTAACTATATCCTTCGTTATTCAGTCTGTGTATAATTCCAAAGTTCTGGGTTTATCTCAAATCCTTATTCAAGTAGTCTTTGAGACTGGATCATCTCAGCTAGCCCTCTCAAAATTGCTCTGAACACTTTGTAGTTCAAAGCTGATCTGTAGATGATGTTTGTCAGCTTAGTGATGTTATTATTGTCCACGTGGAATTGTTGTTGTTGTGGGGCCTCATCTTCTTCCTGGAGACTTCAGTTGATGTTAGGCCTGGCCGTGAATTCCTGCAGAAAACTGATAAGAGACTCGAACACAAAGACATATATATGCAGGTAATTGAAGCCTTTTTTCTTTCTAGAATTAGTTAGTACTCTATATGACCATTCATATCTTAACAAAGTTTAAAATGTATATATATCTCTCTATATATTAATCTTGTAAATTTTGATATAAAATTCATACTTTAAGAAAAGTTTAAAGAATCAGAATAGAATCAAAGAGTTGAGATTAGTAATAGAATAGTCCCTTAATTAATTTGGCTTTTCTCCTGTCCCATAGCAGAAGATGGCTCTTTTATTCTGGCATGATACAGGGAGTTTGCATTTTCCTTTTAACAACATGCTTGAGTTTAAAGAAGGAGAGAGCCATTTTCCAACTCCAAAGTCAGCTTTAAATTTTAATTGAACTGGGACTATTAGAAGACAAATAGTGTTAAATCTTTAGAGAAAAGCAGAAACAAACATTTAGGAAGACATAAAATTTTTTAGATAACATACCTATAAGCCATTTCACTCTGTTTCCTGGGACAGATGATTTGTCCCTTTTCTTCAGTTGTCTCATTTGTCCAGTGTTATCAGATTCCTTAACCTTCATTCTCCTAAAAGACAAAAACAAAAACCTTTCCCCAAGGTTTTTTTGGGATGTTCCTTTTTGGCAAGTTAATATCTGATTAAATGAAAAGGCATGTGTTATGGTATAAGTTAGTTTAAATTGGATGTTCATGCTAGTTGATGAACTATCACCTCCTCTAATTAAGAGGTCTCTCTTGTTCAAATCGAACCTTTATCAATTCTTTCTCAGCTTCAGGTGATAATTCTCTTGGACTATTTAAGTCCTTGTCACCTTCTAAGGTTTTAAACAAATTATTCAGTTCATCATTTTTTTACTCCTCAAGAGTACCCTGGGGTAAAATGTGGGAGCTGGTTTCCCAGCTGGGCTCCCACAACTATGTGTCCATGCTTTTCTCAAACCCATGGCAATCTTCCTGCCTCAGCTTCCCGAACTCTGAAATTATAGGCATGTATCACCATGCCTGACTTTGATTTTGTTTCCATAATTTTTTTCTAGTTCTTTGAGTTGGCAAAATTACCTCCCCTGGTATTGACAGTCCCTTAATTCTTTAATCTGCTTCCCTTAGGTTTATAAGCATGATTTATCCAGTAATTCTTTACTCACTATCTCCCATGTTTCAATCACATTATTTTTCTGTACATTTTTTTCTTTCTTCCTTGTCTATAGTCATACTTATTTAACCACTAAATTTCCCAAAGAATATTTCCTTCCCATATTAACTTGTAATAATTAAAAGCAGTGGTAAAGATAGTTATTAACATTATATGAGTATATTTTTTAAAATTGTGTGTGTGTGTTGTGTGTTTATCATATATGCAGATGCACACATGGGGGCTGGGGAGAAGGCCAGTTGTCCCATCTACCACTTTTAGTCTTTTTCTCTGACATGGAAACTTCACTGAACTGGAGCTATGCTGGCAGCCAGCAAGCTCCAGCCATCCTCTTGTCTCTGCTTCCCATGATGCTGAGGCGCATGCCCATGCCCAACTTTTTACATGTGTGCTAAGGATTATAACTCAGGTCCTGATGTTTGTGCAGCAAGCACTCTTATCTGCTGAACCATCCCTTAACCTCTGATTATACTTTTTCAAGTACTTTACATAGCAACTTTGTGTCAGATAGTCTACGTATCAATTTTAGTGAATATCTATGTGTGCATATATGAATCTATTTATAGGCTACTTATTCAGTTATCTACGTACTATTCAACAATACATTATGGTATTATTGTTACTTTATAAAATGCATTTTGTTGTCTTGCCAACTTCTTATAATTCTCTTTGAAATGCTTGTTTTTCATTCTCCTTTGATTAATCTATTCCATGTTTTTCATGAACTTTTCTTCTCTGTCTACCTGAAATGAGTCTATTTAAAACCCTGTAACATGTGCTTCTAACTTGCTTTTCTAGCCATACTTTTGGATATTCTTCCCCCTGCATGCTTCAGCCCCAAACAATATATTCTTTGATCCCTGTGCTCACTTTCCATAATGTCTTTGGCCATGGATTTTCTTTCTTTGGCTGTGAATTAAAAAAATATTGCATAGTTGACCCATCATGGCTCTGTGTGTCTATGAGTACCTTGTAATTTAAGAGAGTCAACCTCTGGGATGTTCTGAAGGACTAGCCAGGGAGGGAGCTGCTACTCAAAGATCCTCTTGGATGGAATTTAGTGCTCAGACTGGGGTAGTCTGAGAACACAGGAGCAGATAGAGAAGTGGGGTAGAAAATATGGCTGTTAGGAGAGTTGGATATGGGGTCTTTCAAAAAAGAATACAAAGCTACATATGATTATTAATCATTAGTAAATATTGAACTTCAAATAGGGCATGCATTAAGGACTAGGTCACAAAATGGCACCTGGAATTAAAGCTAATGAGTACAATTAATGTGATAAGCTAAATAAAATGTGAGATGAGTTGTCTAATGCAGGAATCCACCCTTGGAAATTATTAAGTGTACTACCAATGAGTAAAGTTGTTTCTCAATGTTCCCTCAAGGACATTAAGTGTGTTTGCAATGAGGGTAGGAAGAGGATGGATACTAATTAGTGTTTCTAGCAGTGTCCAGAAAGAGGAGGCTGCTCTGGCCTTCAATATTTGTAGTTTAATTACTGGAGTGTAAGACAGTGTGATGGTAGGAGACCTGTGTAAGGAGCAGATAGACTTGTATGTAAAATCTTTGTAGTGAAAACAAGTCACTTAACTTTTTAGAGTCTATTTCCTCTTTAATAAAATGATTATAATACCATAAAGCATTGGGTTGTTATGAAAGTAAAATTAAATGATAAATAGTATGTTGAGTAATTTATACCAAGCACAGTGAATGAAGTAATGCTCCTAGCTTGTAAGCATTACATATTGAACAGTAAGGTCACTTTTGTGTTGTTCCTTCCCTTTCAGGAAAAATTATTGAAGTTTTCAGGTTACCATAGTGTGGTAATGAAATATTAGTACTGAAATGCCTTTGCTCTAAAGCTAATCTAATAACCTTTGATAATTGGTTCCAGTTTTTTTTTGTTTTGTTTTGTTTTTTTTACTTCATAGTTAGCAAAGTGGACCATCAACTTTTTGCTTACTATGACTTAGCCTTCCAGATTGCAGCTGAATATACCAGGGAAATAAACCTGGAGAATTAGAACCTCTCCCCTTATCTTCAGAAGTGAGATCCAGCCCCTGGCTAAGGTGTTGACATCCTGCCGAGTTACTTAGCCCTTGGTTTTTCTCTTTTAGCAGCAACAGTTAGGTTCTGAGATTACGGAATCATAACAAGAAGAGAAATACCATAACAAACTTGGTTTAGCTATACAGCTAGATATTTATTTGAAATTCTGTTTTTTTCTTAGAAAGATTTCATATTACTTACCTCTTGAAATTTGAAAGGTAAGGAATAAGGTTGGAGTGTTGTGTAGAAAAAGCTAGGGTCTGGGCCTGCTTTTTCCTTGTAGACCCAGAAACACACTAATATTAGTACCCTGGACTTGGTGAGAATCAGAAAATCTCTTTCATTGTAACTTACCTTGCTAGGAACTGAAGCATGAAAAACAGAATGCTAGATTATTTAACTTAAAATAGAAACAGGTGCTTTTTCCTTTTGGGAAATTGATGGGCAGAAGACCCAGGTTAATTGTAGGGTAGACAGAATATTTGCTATGTGACTCAGCTGATGACTATCATCATGGATTAATGTGGTGAGAAATTTATGTAAAAAACTGGGACATGCTAGACCAAATATGTCAATGGACTACCTGGTCAGAACACTTTCTCCCTGGAGTTGCTCTTGATGGGCATTCTAACAGTGGTCTTTGGAGAAATGTTTTTATTTTGAAATACTTTGTGGTTTACACGCAAGTACAGGAAATCATGTAACAAATGGCATTTTGATTCACAGATGTTTGGGCCTTGTATATTGTTAGTCTCATTTTCTCCATTCCCTCGAGAGTACCCAGTATCATGAATTTGTTATTTATTGTTTCCTGATCTTATATTTATCATATACATGTTTGATAAAATTTTCACTGAATATTTTGATTTTGAAGTTTGCCCATATGTAGTGAAACATGTATATGTGACATGATTTCAATGTATGCAGTATTATAAATTAACCAATATTACCATACAGTTTTTGTTTAATAGCTGAGGCAAGACAAAATTGTTTTTGTTTCTACTCAGGACTTTCTATTTTTACTTTTTATGACAAATATTTCAGGTATAAGGCTTTTTTGGGGGGTATGGAAAATTGTTAGATTTGTAAATTTGTGTCCAAAAGCAACTTCAAACTGGCATTGTATTAGCTTAGTTCAAAATTTATAAATATAAATATATTTTTGGAGTTGTTCAAATTGATATTTTATTTCTCTTTTTTTTTTTTTTTTTCGTTTTTCGAGACAGGGTTTCTCTGTGTAGCTTTGCGCCTTTCCTGGGACTCGCTTGGTAGCCCAGGCTGGCCTCGAACTCACAGAGATCCACCTGGCTCTGCCTCCCGAGTGCTGGGATTAAAGGCGTGCGCCACCACCGCCCGGCTTATTTCTCTTTTTAATACTTAAAAATTATGTGTTTTAGAAAAAGAGTTGTGGTTTTTTTTGGTTTTTGGTAGTGTAAGTATTAACTTCTCTGGAGACAATTACATGCTAGTTTAGATGACGCGAAGGTAAACACACATGCTAGTCAATTGCAACTGTTAAAAAACATTGGGTTCCTAACTAAATGTGAGAGTCCATAAGAGCTGTAATCTGAAACTACAGTAGACTCAAGTCAAGCGAAGCCAGTGCAGTTCAGCCAGTGCAGTCTGTGTGGAGGTTACGCTGGAGAGACCCTCCACTCATCAGCATTTCCTCAGAGCGTCCTTGTGCCCAGTGAGACAACAGTGTTCCAAAGGGAAGACAGAAGCAGGAAACACATATTCACTAAGCATTTTTGAGTGCCTTCTGAGATTTTTTTTTCATAATTTAACATCTCAGTAATTCATGAAAACATTCACACAATTCTTTAGAATGCCCCTTTGTTATTTGAAAGAGAAGGAAGTAAGACTTCCTAATTCATTTTTGGTGTCTGAGACAGCTCAGTGACTGGACAGAATATAATCAGTGCTGTTCAACAGAGGCAAGCATAAGGAAAGAGAGAACAAAGTTATCTCAGAGAAGAGAAAGTGTTTTCTGCAACACACTAAAATAGACTGATGGACAACATACTGCAGTATTAATGCTGTATGATTAGATACAGTACTCAAGTTTGAACTTTTAAAGCACACAGAGATCGTCTTCTGAAAGACAAGCTGTAGCTCCCTTTCTGTAACTTTACAAGCTTTCTCCTCACTGATGTCTGGTGTTCATACATGTAGAAGCTTTGATGTAAGATAATGCTGTCTCAGTGGTCAGAGATTTAGGAGGGTTCCTACAGTCCGCCTTCAGACCTTCCATCAGAAGATTGGGCGTCTTCATCTTCATCTCCAGTTTCTCCATATTTCCCTAAACACCCTTTCTGGATTGTAACTCTGCATTTAAAGGTTGAATCTTTCAGCTGATTTTTGTGCTGGGAGCTCTGTTTTCATGTCTCATAATTCTATTTCTGTTGTTTCAGAACTGCCAAAGACTTTTCTACAGAGAAAACTTATGTGGAGAGATGGTGAAGCTGGCATGGTTGTAATGCTGCTTATCCCTGCGCTGCCCCAGCTGCTCTTCAGAGGAAACAGTGACAAATGGGTTATTCTGTTGTATGGGTGACATACTGGTTTTAACTTAATGTGATGGGGGTGCTGGGGTTTTTGTTCACGTTTCTAGTACTTCTGTGTAATATGACTGCTTAAGAGGCCTATTGCAAAGACCTTTAAGTTCTCAGCATTCTTTTGCTTCTCAGGGGTGTTCACCATGGTCTACATTTGTGGTATTTTGTAGCTTATTAATTTAACAGGCTGTCAGAGCTGCTGGAAATATCTTCTCCTTGAAATACAGTGCATGTAGAGGTGTTCCTTAATTTCAGGTGAGGACAGTGCCCTGGCTTCGTGGCTGGCAGCTGAGTCCTCTTTTACTGTGAGTCAGCCCAGGAAGTCTCTTCACTGCCTCTGTGAGTAGAATGTGCAAGTCTCTCTTTTTCTGGATTTGTTTTAGATAATATGATGTCTAAACTAGGCACTAGTGATGAAGTATCTGATGATATTCTCACCGAGTATCTGGTGGGAATCCTGAGCCTCAGCTATGCTCGCATCAAGCCTTGTAATTGCTTTTTGCCTTAGTTTACAATGGAAACTAACAGGAGATACAGTACAGTTTGTCCTCGAACCCCTTCATGCACTGCCAAGTCCAGTTCTCAACAGTATCTGCTATCTCTTTGTCTTTGTCAGCCATTTTTCTTGGTGCAAAAGTTTCTCCTGATGTTTCAACATCTGCTGCAGGTTTGCCAAAATTCAATGTCCTAATTTCCCGGGAGCCGGGAACTGTGATGCAATGAGGATGTTCCGCTAGGGCAGGTTAGCTAGGGGGTGAGCTGTTGGGTTCTTCCACAGACCCTGACCCTGGCACTGGCTTCATGGTCAGTGGAGACTCAAGGGCACAAATGGCACTTGACATTTTCCCTGCATAAGATACTTTGAAACAACCATATTTAGCTACATTAACTAAGAAGGATGGTATAGCTGCTATGTAGATGTCCTTGCAGAAGGATTTTGGGGTAAGGTTGAGGTGGCTGTTTGTATAGGGTGTAGTCCCACTAGAGTCTTTTGTGGTGATTACTATTAGACTAATATATGTGATACTCTTCCCTTATGACCTTCTGGCTTAAAAGCTTTATCTGTTTATGGAAAGAATGGGTAAACTTTTTACTTTCACATAGAATATTTACTTTTTATATATTTTGAACCCCAGGAACTTGAGTTACAGATGGTTATGAACCACCGTGTGGGTGCTGGATATCAAGCACAGGCCCTCTAGAACAGCTCGTACTCTTAACCATTGAGCCATCTCTCTAGCCCCATTTTTCATTTTTAAAAATGTAATGATAATAGATGAAAACCAGTCTACTGTAATAATGTCTCCAGAACTTATAGCAGAGTTCTTACCATTTGACTAATGTCTCCCCTGACTTCTGGAGACCACTCTTCTGCTCTTGTTTCTGTGAGTTCAACTTTTAAAGATTCAACTAAGTGAGATTGTGTATTGATTACCTGTATTCGTGTGTCTGCTTTATTTCAATTAGCATGATGTCCTCTAGGTTCATCCTAGAGGTTGTAAATGACACTAATTCCTTCATTTTAAGGATAGAATAAGGTCTGAAGAGATGGCTTATCGAGTAAGAGCACTCACTGCTCTTGCAGAGGACCTGGATTCTGTTTGCTGCACCCACAATGTAAGTGTCTTTAACTCTAGTTCCAGAGGATCCAGTACCCTCTTTTGTCTCCACAGGCATCAGGAGAACATAGGGTGCACACTATACTTGTAAGGAAAACACTCATAAAAGGAGTTTGGGAGTGCTCCTCTCAATTTTTAAAAATAGTTTAAGGTTTGGCTGTGGATCTTTTTTGAGAGTCTGGTAGACTCTGCTATGAACCCATCTGGCCCTGAATTTTTTAGCTGCAAGGCTTTTCATTACCATTTCAATGTCCTCATTTGTTGTGTGTCTGTTTAGGTTGTTGGCTTCTTGGTTTTGTGATGGTCCTCTCTTTCTTTCTTTTGGTTAGTTGGGACAAGGATCTGCCAGTCTTTATTTTCTCAAAAACCAGCTCTTAGATTTGTTGAGTATTTGCACTATTTATTTCATTTCTATTACATTAATTTCTGCTCTGATTTTTATTATTTCTTGCCCTCAACTGGTTTTGGATTTGGTTAGTTCTTACTTTTTCCAAAGTTTGAGTTGCATCATTAAGTTTTTAATTTATGCTCTTTCTGATTTTTTTAATGTAGACATTTACAGCTGTAAGTTTACCCTATGGAGTTGATTTAAATATGTCCTAGAGGTTTTGCTGTGTTGTAAATTTCATTTAGTTCCAGAAAGTTTTTTTATTTCTTTCTTGATTTCTTCTTTGACCCATTCATCATTTAGCAATGAATTGTTTAATTTATATGGATTTTTGTATCTACAAGAAACTTGTTTGCTGTCAATTTTAAGTTTTATTGTATTATGGTCAGATAGGATAAACAAAACTATTTCAAACTCTTTGAACTTGTAAGGATTTGTTTTATGTCACAAGATGTGGTCTTATTGTAGAGACGTGATGGAATGCTGCTGAGCAGAATGAATCAAAGACCTAAACATGAGACAGGGAAACTGCTGGAAGAAAACTAGGCAGTACCCTACATGATATAGGTGTAGGAAAGCACTTTTGGAAAAGGACTCCATTGCACAGGAATTCGGATCAATAATTGACATGTGGGACCTCATAAAACAAGCTTCTGCATGTCTAATTAAACAGTCAAGTGAAAAGGAAGCCCATAGTAGAGAATTTGGAGGAGAACCTATAGCTATAACTTTCCTAAAACATCTCTAACCACACTATATTTATCCTCATACCCACATGTAAGTGTGGTCCTTACCCCTCATCAAGGAAGCTTTCTGTGCCACAGATGGAAACCGTTATGGAAACCATAACCAATCAAGTCCCAGTTGATCCATCTACAAAGCAACTCCTGGACCCAAGGCTTAGGACACATCACTGAAGAGTGGACAGAAAGATTGTAAGAGCCAGGGGATCAGGGAATTTGATGTGAGAGTGTGTCTCCTAGGAATGTCAGAAGTTACACTCAGAAAGTCTCACCAGCAGGACTGCCCAAACCTGACCTGAAAGGGGCAATAATAGACATGCAAATATGGATGGGGTAGAGACCACAAGGCCTCAACCCTACACAAAGAGCTACAGGAAATTGAGGAATGCTGAGAGTGGGAGAGAGAGTGTTCCCCAGGGACGAGCACACCAACTGGTTTAGCAATACCAAATGGTCAGCCCTGAAGACATACAAGCAACATTGTACAGACTAAGCAAGTTTTATTTATGTATTTAGGAATATATATGTATGTAACAACAATTAATGAAAAAAAGGCCATGAATTTGAAAGAGTGCAAGGAGGGATATATAAGAGGCTTAGAGGGGGAAGAAAAAGGAAGGAGGAAATGATGTAATTATATTATAATCTCAAAAACTAAAAGAAATACTTTAAAAAAGCATTTTCCTTTATAATGTTCTAAACTGGTGTCTGTTGTCATGTTTGCCTGATCATTTCTGATTCTGTTCACTTGTGCTCTTTCTTTCCTTTGGTTAGTTAGGCCAGTGATCTGATGATCTTGTTTATCTTTTCAAGGAAACAGCCCTGCGAATTGTTGACAGACTGTCTTGGCCTTTCATACTAGTGTTTTTGGGATGAGACTTGGCATGCTGTTGCTGGTGTGTTTGATGTGAGCTTAGGTTTATTTTGTTTCTGTCCAAGATTGGTTGATTTCAGAGCAGGTATGTGGAACTGGTAGGTTGATCCTTCAGACACTCAGAGTTGATTTTTTACTAGACTGAGTCCACTTCTGTATTAAACAAGAAAATGTGTGAGTGGGACAAAATGGTTGGATCTCATTTGTCTGATGTGCAATTCATACTACTCAAGATTTATCTGGGAATATGAGGATTTCATTGGTAGGCTGGATAATTCACTCACCACCTTAGGCTGTTTATACAGGCTGTGGAACAGAGATGAAGATTTGGGATGGCCTGGATGTTCTAGGGACTTAACTGTCTGACTGAGGCTTGACCTGAGGATTGGGGATAGGATGAACAACTGAGGTTCTAGGAACTCATCAGGTTTTGCCAGCACACAAATATATATCCTAGGATAGGCATGGAGGTTAGATGTGATACAGGCTGGGTAGAGTTCAGGAGACTCACTAGACTGGATTAGCACTGGATGTGTGACCTAGGCTAAGTCTGGAGGTTTGATATAGCATGAGTAGGATAGAATCTGGTGACCCCAACACCCACGCTTGGCACAGAAGTTTTGCTTCTGGGTCCATGCCTACAGATAGGGAATGGTATAAAGCTCTTCAGACTAGGCTGGGACACTCAGCATAAAAATTGGCCTGGGTGTGGGAACTGGGGAGGGTGTAGCCAGAATAGGGTCAGGTGGAGTCATCATCACTAGGCCAGGGCACAGGATGTGGAGCATGGGCTGGTCCTGGAGAGCCCCATTAACATTTCTTTCTTTAGTATTTCTCCTCTCTTCCTCTCCCCTCCCCTTTCCTCCCCTCCCCTCCCCTCTCCTCTCCTCTCCTCTCCTTTCCTTTCCCTTCCTATTAAGGCTGGATAAGGCAACCCAGTAGGAAGGAAGCGTCCCAAAAGCAGGTAACAGAGTCTGAGATAGTCCCTGCTCCCACTGTTAGGAGTCCCACAAGATCTAGTTACACAACTGTAAAATATGTGCAGTGGACCCAAGTCAGTACCATGCAGACTTTCTGGTTGGCGGTTCAGTCTCTGTGAGCCCCTGTGCACCCAGGTGAGTTGATTCTGTCAGTTTTCTTGTGATGTCCTTGACCCCCCCTGACTCCCCTAATCCTTCCTCCCCCTCTTCCACAGAATTTCCTGAGCTACATCTAATGTTTGTCTGTGGGTTTCTGCATCTGTTTCCGTCAGAAACTGGGTGAAGCCTCTTTGATAACGATTAGGCTAGACAATAATCTATGAGTGTAGTGTACAGCAGAATGTCATTAGGAATCATTTTGTTGACTTTTTTATTTTTTGCCAGTCATGTTTGGCTCTATCTTAGGTCTCTGGGATGTTCAGCCTGTGGGTCCTGGCCCTCCAGGCAGTTTCAGGGGTGGGCTCCCTCTCATGATATGGGTCTCAAGCTGGGCCAGTCATTGGTTGGCTGCTCCCATAATTTCTGCACCACCTTTACCCTAGCATATCTTGTAAAAGGGCAAATTGTAGGTCAAAGGTTATGTATGTGACTGGGTTAGGGTTCCAGTCCCTCCAGTGGAAGTCTTGCTTGGTTACAGGAGATGGCTGGTTCAGGCTCCATATCCACCATTGCTAGGAGTCTTAGCTATAGATTTCTAGGAGTTTCCATTGTACTAGGTTTCTAGCTCATCTCAGAGATACCCCCTGACTATGTTCATAGCAGCATTATTCATAATAGATAGAGATTGGAAACAACCTATATGTCCATCAACCAAAGAATGGATAAAGAAAATGTGGTACATTTACACAATGGAGTATTACTCAGCTGTTAAAAACAATGGCATCATGAGATTTTCAGGCAAATGGATGGAACTAGCAAAGATCATCCTGCATGAGGTAACCCAAATATAGAAAGACAAGTATGGTACGTACTCACTTATAAGTGGATATTAGCTGTAAAGTAAAGGATAACCATGCTACAATCCATAGCCTAAGAGAAGCTAAGTTAAAAGGAGGGCAAAGGTGAGAGGGGGCACATGAATCTCACTGTGAAGGGGAAATAGAATAGATATCACAGGTGAATTGGGGGAGGGGTCTGGATGAGGGTGGGCATGGGAACAGGAGGCATCAGGTAGGGAGAGGATGGAGGGAAAGAGTGCTGGGAGACTTTAAAATTTTCTATCTGGATTGACTGTAGATTATGGGACTTTGGGAAATAGCTACTTGCATTGATTTCTTTGACCACTTGTGTGAAAGAAGTGATGTGAAGCAGAGGAAAGACAAATCTCAGTATTTAATCACTACTATTTTATTGTCAATATTAATGCAATCCAGTTATTTGAATTGAAAGATTAGAAACAAATCCATTACAGTCAAAAGAACTATGTAACAATGGCAAGCTTCCTTTCAATTGGGTTATTGATGATATCTCTGCATAGGAGGACCAGTAAGCTACTTATATTTCCATGTATAATATGCCTAACATTTTCTAATCTGAAACAGTTTCTTACAAATGAAAACAAAGATCTTTCTTGATGAAATAAAGTAAAGGCCCACATATGGATCCTTTGGTCATGTACCTCTTTTCCAGTGGCTAGGGAGAAGCATCTGAAGAAAATTTTAATGCCACTTGTTTACTTACTGATTTAAAATGTACCGAAGAAGTATCTTGGTGATTTTAGTAAAAATAGAAACCAATACTTTATACCTTTTCCCCCTCAATCTCTTGCCATCTAACATAATATACATTAAAATTTGGACTGTATGTTGATGTAAGATGAAGCTTTGACAACTGGAATGATAATAGATTACTAATATATTGCCCTTTAAAACTACAAGCTTAGCTTTAGCATCATCCCAAGCTAAATAATAATCTTTTAGACAGATACCTTAACAAAACCCCAAACTCTTTAAATTATTCTTCTAAACTTAATCCAACTAAACCCAAACTCTATAAGTTAATCTTCAACACTTAATTTTCCTAAAACCAAGTATTTTTCTATTGCGATAGATCATAAGTATGCCAAAAATCATACATTATTTGAGAGGAACTCAATAACAAGGAATATAGGCTAATTTTCATTTTAAAAGAAAAGAATGAGAGCAGACATGTCCATATTGAGAAAGAAATTGCATGATGAGTTCTACAACAATTTTTCATTTCTTAAATTAACATTTAAGTTAATTTTACCTCAGTTCCTTACTCACTTTGAGAATTAGCGTCTCTGCTCTTGTACATACTCATAGAGTGGAGTGCTACTACTGAAACTGTGAGAATCCAAGCCTCTATTTCTCATTCCAGAGTTACCTTCCCTGATTCTCCGATAGTCAGAGTCACCTTGTCTATTATCCACATTGCAAAGTGAAAATTGACCAGAAGTATTGGATCTACTATGTGCATGTGAAGGTGTAAAATGTCCAAAGTCACAGCCTGAGGAGGTTTCTACTTTCCTATATACACTTATTGATTGATTTTCATTACAAATTGAGGGGCTACAGCCAGATTGCCAATTGTTTCCACATCTCCCATTTAATTGAGGCTGATCATAACTAGAATATTGACCATATCCAGAACCACATGATCCAGAACTAAATGAATGACATGAATCAGACCCATATTTTGGTGAACTAGGACATAGACCAGATCTGGGACAATTTTGTCTAGAGATAGAAGAGGGATATGAACCAGACCCATATTGTTCAGAGCTAAAACTCTGGCTACATCCAGCCCTATGTTGACTGTGGCTAGAATAATGACTTGAGGGACATTCATGTTGGCCATAGTAAGAAGACTGACTTGAACCAGACTCTTGTTGACCACAACAGGAAGACTGGTTTGAATTAGATCCACACTGACTACCACAGTATGACTGTTCTGATATTGGACTATATTGTCCATAGCCAGAGGATTGGTTTATATTGGATCCCTGTTGGCTGTAAGTAGAATGACCTGAGCTAGATACCTGGTTACCAAATCCAGAACATCCTGTTGAGCTAGAACCACATTGGCCAGAGTTGGAAGACCCTCCAGAGGTAGATGCATGATGACTACAGGAGGATGGCTGATATGATCCAGGCCGTTGCTGGTCATAGGAGGAAGACTGCCAAGAAGTAGAACCATGGTGATCACAGTTAGAGGATTGACCTGAGCTACATTGAGATGGCCCAGAAAATGGTAATTGTCTGGATGACGAACAATTTTGGCCTCTGCTAGATAACTGACCAGTACCAGATCCATGCTGACTACAGACTGATGACTGTCTAGAGAAAGAACCATGTTCTCTACTACAAGAAGACTGACCTTGCCTAGATCCACTTTGACTACATCCAGAAGACCCTCCTGAGCCAGACCCATGTTGCTGGGAGCCAAAAGACTCACTAGAGCTAGAACTGCTTCTCCTTTGCTTAGATGCCTGGCTTGATCCTGATCCTTGTGTGCCATGGGAAGTAGAGTGACCTGAGTTCAAGCCTGATGACTGTCCTGATGAAGCACCATATTGTGAAGAACCAGAGGAGTGACCACGTCCAGAACCATGTACACAACATCCAGAAGACCCTCCTGAGCCAGACCCATGTTGCTGGGAGCCAAAAGACTCACTTGAGCTAGAACTGCTTCTCCTTTGCTTAGATGCCTGGCTTGATCCTGATCCTTGTGTGCCATGGGAAGTGGAGTGACCTGAGTTCAAGCCTGATGACTGTCCTGATGAAGTACCATAATGTCCAGAACCAGAGTAGGGACCTTGTCCACACCCTTGTCCTGTGGAGCCAGAAGACTGTCCGGATGTAGAACCATATTCACCTGAACCACAAGACTGTCCTGACCTAGAGCCATGTGTCCTCTGGGTAGAAGTATGGCTTGTGCCTGAATAGTGTGTGCCTGAGCTGGAAGACTGACCATAACGAGAGGCATGCGGGCCACTCCCTGATGACTGTCCAGACAAAGAACCATGTTCCCTACTACTAGAAGACTGACCTTTCCAAGATCCACGTTGACTACATCCAGAAGATGCTCCTGAGCCAGATCCATGTTGCTGGGAGCCAAAAGACTCACTAGAGCTAGAACTGCTTCTCCTTTGCTTAGATGCCTGGCTTGATCCTGATCCTTGTGTGCCATGGGAAGTGGAGTGACCTGAGTTCAAGCCTGATGACTGTCCGGATGAAGCACCATAATGTCCAGAACCAGAGTAGTGACCTTGTCCATACCCTTGTCCTGTGGAGCCAGAAGACTGTCCTGATGCAGAACCATATTCACCTGAACCACAAGACTGTCCTGACCTAGAGCCATGTGTCCTCTGGGAAGAAGTATGGCTTGTGCCTGAGTAGTGTGTGCCTGAGCTGGAAGACTGACCATAACGAGAGGCATGCGGGCCACTGCCTGATGACTGTCCAGACAAAGAACCATGTTCCCTACTACTAGAAGACTGACCTTGCCCAGATCCATGTTGACTACATCCAGAAGACCCTCCTGAGCCAGATCCATGTTGCTGGGAGCCAAAAGACTCACTAGAGCTAGAACTGCTTCTCCTTTGGTTAGATGCCTGGCTTGATCCTGATCCTTGTGTGCCATGGGAAGTGGAGTGACCTGAGTTCAAGCCTGATGACTGTCCTGATGAAGTACCATAATGTCCAGAATCAGAGTAGTGACCTTGTCCACACCCTTGTCCTGTGGAGCCAGAAGACTGTCCTGATGTAGAACCATATTCACCTGAACCACAAGACTGTCCAGACCTAGAGCCATGTGTCCTCTGGGTAGAAGTATGGCTTGTGCCTGAGTAGTGTGTGCCTGAGCTGGAAGACTGACCATAACGAGAGGCATGCGGGCCACTCCCTGATGACTGTCCAGACAAAGAACCATGTTCCCTACTACTAGAAGACTGACCTTGCCCAGATCCATGTTGACTACATCCAGAAGATCCTCCTGAGCCAGATCCATGTTGCCGGGAGCCAAAAGACTCACTAGAGCTAGAACTGCTTCTCCTTTGCTTAGATGCCTGGCTTGATCCTGATCCTTGTGTGCCATGGGAAGTGGAGTGACCTGAGTTCAAGCCTGATGACTGTCCTGATGAAGTACCATAATGTCCAGAGCCAGAGTATTGACCTTGTCCATACCCTTGTCCTGTGGAGCCAGAAGACTGTCCTGATGTAGAACCATATTCACCTGAACCACAAGAATGTCCTGACCTAGAGCCATGTGTCCTCTGGGTAGAAGTATGGCTTGTGCCTGAATAGTGTGTGCCTGAGCTGGAAGACTGACCATAACGAGAGGCATGCGGGCCACTCCCTGATGACTGTCCAGACAAAGAACCATGTTCCCTACTACTAGAAGACTGACCTTTCCAAGATCCACGTTGACTACATCCAGAAGATGCTCCTGAGCCAGATCCATGTTGCTGGGAGCCAAAAGACTCACTAGAGCTAGAACTGCTTCTCCTTTGCTTAGATACCTGGCTTGATCCTGATCCTTGTGTGCCATGGGAAGTGGAGTGACCTGAGCTCAAGCCTGATGACTGTCCGGATGAAGCACCATAATGTCCAGAACCAGAGTAGTGACCTTGTTCATACCCTTGTCCTGTGGAGCCAGAAGACTGTCCTGATGCAGAACCATATTCACCTGAACCACAAGACTGTCCTGACCTAGAGCCATGTGTCCTCTGGGTAGAAGTATGGCTTGTGCCTGAGTAGTGTGTGCCTGAGCTGGAAGACTGACCATAACGAGAGGCATGCGGGCCACTCCCTGATGACTGTCCAGACAAAGAACCATGTTCCCTACTACTAGAAGACTGACCTTGCCCAGATCCATGTTGACTACATCCAGAAGACCCTCCTGAGCCAGATCCATGTTGCTGGGAGCCAAAAGACTCACTAGAGCTAGAACTGCTTCTCCTTTGCTTAGATGCCTGGCTTGATCCTGATCCTTGTGTGCCATGGGAAGTGGAGTGACCTGAGTTCAAGCCTGATGACTGTCCTGATGAAGTACCATAATGTCCAGAACCAGAGTATTGACCTTGTCCACATCCTTGTCCTGTGGAGCCAGAAGACTGTCCTGATGTAGAACCATATTCACCTGAACCACAAGACTGTCCTGACCTAGAGCCATGTGTCCTCTGGGAAGAAGTATGGCTTGTGCCTGAGTAGTGTGTGCCTGAGCTGGAAGACTGACCATAACGAGAGGCATGCGGGCCACTGCCTGATGACTGTCCAGACAAAGAACCATGTTCCCTACTACTAGAAGACTGACCTTGCCCAGATCCATGTTGACTACATCCAGAAGACCCTCCTGAGCCAGATCCATGTTGCTGGGAGCCAAAAGACTCACTAGAGCTAGAACTGCTTCTCCTTTGCTTAGATGCCTGGCTTGATCCTGATCCTTGTGTGCCATGGGAAGTGGAGTGACCTGAGTTCAAGCCTGATGACTGTCCGGATGAAGCACCATAATGTCCAGAACCAGAGTAGTGACCTTGTCCATACCCTTGTCCTGTGGAGCCAGAAGACTGTCCTGATGCAGAACCATATTCACCTGAACAACAAGACTGTCCTGACCTAGAGCCATGTGTCCTCTGGGTAGAAGTATGGCTTGTGCCTGAGTAGTGTGTGCCTGAGCTGGAAGACTGACCATAACGAGAGGCATGCGGGCCACTGCCTGATGACTGTCCAGACAAAGAACCTTGTTCCCCACTACTAGAAGACTGACCTTTCCCAGATCCACGTTGACTACATCCAGAAGACCCTCCTGAGCCAGATCCATGTTGCTGGGAGCCAAAAGACTCACTAGAGCTAGAACTGCTTCTCCTTTGCTTAGATGCCTGGCTTGATCCTGATCCTTGTGTGCCATGGGAAGTGGAGTGACCTGAGCTCAAGCCTGATGACTGTCCTGTTGAAGCACCATATTGTCCAGAACCAGAGTATTGACCTTGTCCACATCCTTGTCCTGTGGAGCCAGAAGACTGTCCTGATGTAGAACCATATTCACCTGAACCACAAGACTGTCCTGACCTAGAGCCATGTGTCCTCTGGGAAGAAGTATGGCTTGTGCCTGAGTAGTGTGTGCCTGAGCTGGAAGACTGACCATAACGAGAGGCATGCGGGCCACTGCCTGATGACTGTCCAGACAAAGAACCATGTTCCCCACTACTAGAAGACTGACCTTGCCCAGATCCATGTTGACTACATCCAGAAGACCCTCCTGAGCCAGATCCATGTTGCTGGGAGCCAAAAGACTCACTAGAGCTAGAACTGCTTCTCCTTTGGTTAGATGCCTGGCTTGATCCTGATCCTTGTGTGCCATGGGAAGTGGAGTGACCTGAGTTCAAGCCTGATGACTGTCCTGATGAAGTACCATAATGTCCAGAACCAGAGTATTGACCTTGTCCACATCCTTGTCCTGTGGAGCCAGAAGACTGTCCTGATGTAGAACCATATTCACCTGAACCACAAGACTGTCCTGACCTAGAGCCATGTGTCCTCTGGGAAGAAGTATGGCTTGTGCCTGAGTAGTGTGTGCCTGAGCTGGAAGACTGACCATAACGAGAGGCATGCGGGCCACTGCCTGATGACTGTCCAGACAAAGAACCATGTTCCCCACTACTAGAAGACTGACCTTGTCCAGATCCATGTTGAGTACATCCAGAAGACGCTCCTGAGCCAGATCGTTGTTGTTGGGAGCCAAAAGACTCACTAGAGCTAGAACTGCTTCTCCTTTGGTTAGATGCCTGGCTTGATCCTGATCCTTGTGTGCCATGGGAAGTGGAGTGACCTGAGTTCAAGCCTGATGACTGTCCGGATGAAGCACCATAATGTCCAGAACCAGAGTAGTGACCTTGTCCATACCCTTGTCCTGTGGAGCCAGAAGACTGTCCTGATGCAGAACCATATTCACCTGAACAACAAGACTGTCCTGACCTAGAGCCATGTGTCCTCTGGGTAGAAGTATGGCTTGTGCCTGAGTAGTGTGTGCCTGAGCTGGAAGACTGACCATAACGAGAGGCATGCGGGCCACTGCCTGATGACTGTCCAGACAAAGAACCTTGTTCCCCACTACTAGAAGACTGACCTTTCCCAGATCCACGTTGACTACATCCAGAAGACGCTCCTGAGCCAGATCCATGTTGCTGGGAGCCAAAAGACTCACTAGAGCTAGAACTGCTTCTCCTTTGCTTAGATGCCTGGCTTGATCCTGATCCTTGTGTGCCATGAGAATTGGAGTGACCTGAGCTCAAGCCTGATGACTGTCCGGATGAAGCACCATAATGTCCAGAACCAGAGTAGTGACCTTGTCCATACCCTTGTCCTGTGGAGCCAGAAGACTGTCCTGATGTAGAACCATATTCACCTGAACCACAAGACTGTCCTGACCTAGAGCCATGTGTCCTCTGGGTAGAAGTATGGCTTGTGCCTGAGTAGTGTGTGCCTGAGCTGGAAGACTGACCATAACGAGAGGCATGCGGGCCACTGCCTGATGACTGTCCAGACAAAGAACCATGTTCCCTACTACTAGAAGACTGACCTTGTCCAGATCCATGTTGACTACATCCAGAAGACGCTCCTGAGCCAGATCCATGTTGCTGGGAGCCAAAAGCCTCACTAGAGCTAGAACTGCTTCTCCTTTGCTTAGATGCCTGGCTTGATCCTGATCCTTGTGTGCCATGGGAAGTGGAGTGACCTGAGTTCAAGCCTGATGACTGTCCTGATGAAGTACCATAATGTCCAGAACCAGAGTATTGACCTTGTCCACATCTTTGTCCTGTGGAGCCAGAAGACTGTCCTGATGTAGAACCATATTCACCTGAACCACAAGACTGTCCTGACCTAGAGCCATGTGTCCTCTGGGTAGAAGTATGGCTTGTGCCTGAGTAGTGTGTGCCTGAGCTGGAAGACTGACCATAACGAGAGGCATGCGGGCCACTGCCTGATGACTGTCCAGACAAAGAACCATGTTCCCCACTACTAGAAGACTGACCTTTCCCAGATCCACGTTGACTACATCCAGAAGATGCTCCTGAGCCAGATCCATGTTGCTGGGAGCCAAAAGACTCACTAGAGCTAGAACTGCTTCTCCTTTGCTTAGATACCTGGCTTGATCCTGATCCTTGTGTGCCATGGGAAGTGGAGTGACCTGAGCTCAAGCCTGATGACTGTCCGGATGAAGCACCATAATGTCCAGAACCAGAGTAGTGACCTTGTCCATACCCTTGTCCTGTGGAGCCAGAAGACTGTCCTGATGCAGAACCATATTCACCTGAACCACAAGACTGTCCTGACCTAGAGCCATGTGTCCTCTGGGTAGAAGTATGGCTTGTGCCTGAGTAGTGTGTGCCTGAGCTGGAAGACTGACCATAACGAGAGGCATGCGGGCCACTCCCTGATGACTGTCCAGACAAAGAACCATATTCCCTACTACTAGAAGACTGACCTTGCCCAGATCCATGTTGACTACATCCAGAAGACCCTCCTGAGCCAGATCCATGTTGCTGGGAGCCAAAAGACTCACTAGAGCTAGAACTGCTTCTCCTTTGCTTAGATGCCTGGCTTGATCCTGATCCTTGTGTGCCATGGGAAGTGGAGTGACCTGAGTTCAAGCCTGATGACTGTCCTGATGAAGTACCATAATGTCCAGAACCAGAGTAGTGACCTTGTCCACATCCTTGTCCTGTGGAGCCAGAAGACTGTCCTGATGTAGAACCATATTCACCTGAACCACAAGACTGTCCTGACCTAGAGCCATGTGTCCTCTGGGAAGAAGTATGGCTTGTGCCTGAGTAGTGTGTGCCTGAGCTGGAAGACTGACCATAACGAGAGGCATGCGGGCCACTGCCTGATGACTGTCCAGACAAAGAACCATGTTCCCTACTACTAGAAGACTGACCTTGCCCAGATCCATGTTGACTACATCCAGAAGACCCTCCTGAGCCAGATCCATGTTGCTGGGAGCCAAAAGACTCACTAGAGCTAGAACTGCTTCTCCTTTGCTTAGATGCCTGGCTTGATCCTGATCCTTGTGTGCCATGGGAAGTGGAGTGACCTGAGTTCAAGCCTGATGACTGTCCGGATGAAGCACCATAATGTCCAGAACCAGAGTAGTGACCTTGTCCATACCCTTGTCCTGTGGAGCCAGAAGACTGTCCTGATGCAGAACCATATTCACCTGAACAACAAGACTGTCCTGACCTAGAGCCATGTGTCCTCTGGGTAGAAGTATGGCTTGTGCCTGAGTAGTGTGTGCCTGAGCTGGAAGACTGACCATAACGAGAGGCATGCGGGCCACTGCCTGATGACTGTCCAGACAAAGAACCTTGTTCCCCACTACTAGAAGACTGACCTTTCCCAGATCCACGTTGACTACATCCAGAAGACCCTCCTGAGCCAGATCCATGTTGCTGGGAGCCAAAAGACTCACTAGAGCTAGAACTGCTTCTCCTTTGCTTAGATGCCTGGCTTGATCCTGATCCTTGTGTGCCATGGGAAGTGGAGTGACCTGAGCTCAAGCCTGATGACTGTCCTGTTGAAGCACCATATTGTCCAGAACCAGAGTATTGACCTTGTCCACATCCTTGTCCTGTGGAGCCAGAAGACTGTCCTGATGTAGAACCATATTCACCTGAACCACAAGACTGTCCTGACCTAGAGCCATGTGTCCTCTGGGAAGAAGTATGGCTTGTGCCTGAGTAGTGTGTGCCTGAGCTGGAAGACTGACCATAACGAGAGGCATGCGGGCCACTGCCTGATGACTGTCCAGACAAAGAACCATGTTCCCCACTACTAGAAGACTGACCTTGCCCAGATCCATGTTGACTACATCCAGAAGACCCTCCTGAGCCAGATCCATGTTGCTGGGAGCCAAAAGACTCACTAGAGCTAGAACTGCTTCTCCTTTGGTTAGATGCCTGGCTTGATCCTGATCCTTGTGTGCCATGGGAAGTGGAGTGACCTGAGTTCAAGCCTGATGACTGTCCTGATGAAGTACCATAATGTCCAGAACCAGAGTATTGACCTTGTCCACATCCTTGTCCTGTGGAGCCAGAAGACTGTCCTGATGTAGAACCATATTCACCTGAACCACAAGACTGTCCTGACCTAGAGCCATGTGTCCTCTGGGAAGAAGTATGGCTTGTGCCTGAGTAGTGTGTGCCTGAGCTGGAAGACTGACCATAACGAGAGGCATGCGGGCCACTGCCTGATGACTGTCCAGACAAAGAACCATGTTCCCCACTACTAGAAGACTGACCTTGTCCAGATCCATGTTGAGTACATCCAGAAGACGCTCCTGAGCCAGATCGTTGTTGTTGGGAGCCAAAAGACTCACTAGAGCTAGAACTGCTTCTCCTTTGGTTAGATGCCTGGCTTGATCCTGATCCTTGTGTGCCATGGGAAGTGGAGTGACCTGAGTTCAAGCCTGATGACTGTCCGGATGAAGCACCATAATGTCCAGAACCAGAGTAGTGACCTTGTCCATACCCTTGTCCTGTGGAGCCAGAAGACTGTCCTGATGCAGAACCATATTCACCTGAACAACAAGACTGTCCTGACCTAGAGCCATGTGTCCTCTGGGTAGAAGTATGGCTTGTGCCTGAGTAGTGTGTGCCTGAGCTGGAAGACTGACCATAACGAGAGGCATGCGGGCCACTGCCTGATGACTGTCCAGACAAAGAACCTTGTTCCCCACTACTAGAAGACTGACCTTTCCCAGATCCACGTTGACTACATCCAGAAGACGCTCCTGAGCCAGATCCATGTTGCTGGGAGCCAAAAGACTCACTAGAGCTAGAACTGCTTCTCCTTTGCTTAGATGCCTGGCTTGATCCTGATCCTTGTGTGCCATGAGAATTGGAGTGACCTGAGCTCAAGCCTGATGACTGTCCGGATGAAGCACCATAATGTCCAGAACCAGAGTAGTGACCTTGTCCATACCCTTGTCCTGTGGAGCCAGAAGACTGTCCTGATGTAGAACCATATTCACCTGAACCACAAGACTGTCCTGACCTAGAGCCATGTGTCCTCTGGGTAGAAGTATGGCTTGTGCCTGAGTAGTGTGTGCCTGAGCTGGAAGACTGACCATAACGAGAGGCATGCGGGCCACTGCCTGATGACTGTCCAGACAAAGAACCATGTTCCCTACTACTAGAAGACTGACCTTGTCCAGATCCATGTTGACTACATCCAGAAGACGCTCCTGAGCCAGATCCATGTTGCTGGGAGCCAAAAGCCTCACTAGAGCTAGAACTGCTTCTCCTTTGCTTAGATGCCTGGCTTGATCCTGATCCTTGTGTGCCATGGGAAGTGGAGTGACCTGAGTTCAAGCCTGATGACTGTCCTGATGAAGTACCATAATGTCCAGAACCAGAGTATTGACCTTGTCCACATCTTTGTCCTGTGGAGCCAGAAGACTGTCCTGATGTAGAACCATATTCACCTGAACCACAAGACTGTCCTGACCTAGAGCCATGTGTCCTCTGGGTAGAAGTATGGCTTGTGCCTGAGTAGTGTGTGCCTGAGCTGGAAGACTGACCATAACGAGAGGCATGCGGGCCACTGCCTGATGACTGTCCAGACAAAGAACCATGTTCCCCACTACTAGAAGACTGACCTTGTCCAGATCCATGTTGAGTACATCCAGAAGACGCTCCTGAGCCAGATCGTTGTTGTTGGGAGCCAAAAGACTCACTAGAGCTAGAACTGCTTCTCCTTTGGTTAGATGCCTGGCTTGATCCTGATCCTTGTGTGCCATGGGAAGTGGAGTGACCTGAGTTCAAGCCTGATGACTGTCCGGATGAAGCACCATAATGTCCAGAACCAGAGTAGTGACCTTGTCCATACCCTTGTCCTGTGGAGCCAGAAGACTGTCCTGATGCAGAACCATATTCACCTGAACAACAAGACTGTCCTGACCTAGAGCCATGTGTCCTCTGGGTAGAAGTATGGCTTGTGCCTGAGTAGTGTGTGCCTGAGCTGGAAGACTGACCATAACGAGAGGCATGCGGGCCACTGCCTGATGACTGTCCAGACAAAGAACCTTGTTCCCCACTACTAGAAGACTGACCTTTCCCAGATCCACGTTGACTACATCCAGAAGACGCTCCTGAGCCAGATCCATGTTGCTGGGAGCCAAAAGACTCACTAGAGCTAGAACTGCTTCTCCTTTGCTTAGATGCCTGGCTTGATCCTGATCCTTGTGTGCCATGAGAATTGGAGTGACCTGAGCTCAAGCCTGATGACTGTCCGGATGAAGCACCATAATGTCCAGAACCAGAGTAGTGACCTTGTCCATACCCTTGTCCTGTGGAGCCAGAAGACTGTCCTGATGTAGAACCATATTCACCTGAACCACAAGACTGTCCTGACCTAGAGCCATGTGTCCTCTGGGTAGAAGTATGGCTTGTGCCTGAGTAGTGTGTGCCTGAGCTGGAAGACTGACCATAACGAGAGGCATGCGGGCCACTGCCTGATGACTGTCCAGACAAAGAACCATGTTCCCTACTACTAGAAGACTGACCTTGTCCAGATCCATGTTGACTACATCCAGAAGACGCTCCTGAGCCAGATCCATGTTGCTGGGAGCCAAAAGCCTCACTAGAGCTAGAACTGCTTCTCCTTTGCTTAGATGCCTGGCTTGATCCTGATCCTTGTGTGCCATGGGAAGTGGAGTGACCTGAGCTCAAGCCTGATGACTGTCCGGATGAAGCACCATAATGTCCAGAACCAGAGTAGTGACCTTGTCCATACCCTTGTCCTGTGGAGCCAGAAGACTGTCCTGATGCAGAACCATATTCACCTGAACCACAAGACTGTCCTGACCTAGAGCCATGTGTCCTCTGGGTAGAAGTATGGCTTGTGCCTGAGTAGTGTGTGCCTGAGCTGGAAGACTGACTATAACCAGAAGCATGCTGGCCACTCCCTGAATACTCTCCTGATGAAGCACCATATTGTCCAGAACCAGAGGAGTAACCCTGTCCATATTCTTGTCCTGTGGAGCCAGGAGGGGTTTCTGATCCAGAGCCATATTCTTGTGACCCAGAAGATTGTCCTGACCCACAGTTATTTGTCCTCTGCCTGGAAGACTGGTTTGATCCTGATTTCTGTGTATCATAGTTGGAAGACTGTCCTGTGCCTCCGAGTGATGATTCTCTAGATGAAATATTATGTTTTCCATTACCACAAGAGTGATGTTGGCCAGATCCTTGTCTCCTGGAGCCAGCAGACTCTTCTAATGTAGAGCCATTTTGGCTGTAGCCAGAATCTTCCCTTTTTCTAATACTCCTTCTGCTCTGGTTCGATGAGTGGGTTGGTCCAGATTCATGCTTACCTTGTTGATATTTGTCACTGTTTTCTAACTGACTTGAGTTTGTTTTCATCCTTTCTTCAGAATTTTGGTGTTTCTCCTTCCTTGGTTTTCTAGAGGTCCTTGTAGACTTGTGTTTATTGCTTCCTCTTGAGCCCCTGGAATAAGCATCATTCTCTCCTGCACTAGAACTTGAATAACTTGAAGAGGCGTCTTTCTCTTTGTCATCTTCGTCTTTTTCACTGTGTTCCTTTTGGTGGTGGTGACTGTGATTTCCCTGCTTTGACCCTGAAGCTTGGCAGTAATCTTTGCCAATAATTTTGTTACAAGCCTGAGCCAGCTTGATTATCATCAGAAGATACTCAGTAAAATCCACTTTGTTGTTATGATCTTGATCCAGACTTTGCATGATGATATCTACAGTGTCTGGATCATCTGGGTTCTGTAAAAGAATAATTTAGAAATGGAGGCTTTGTAACTATAGACTGTAAATCTAGTTTCCCATTTGGGAGAAGTCTGTAGTATTGTGAATATTTAATAAATCAGTTTGAAATTGACCACATAGTTCTTTGGAATAGAAGAAGAAGAAGGTGGAGGAGGAGGAGGAGGAGGAGGAGGAGGAGAACAAAGAGAGAGAGAGAGAGAGAGAGAGAGAGAGAGAGAGAGAGAGAGAGAGAGAGATCAGCCAGCAAGCTGTCAAGCAGTCAATTATTTCCAAGAATTAGCCAGGAGGGGATGCAATTGAAAGGTTCAAGGGAGCAAGTGGCCCAATCACTTTTGGTTAAGATAGTCGCTGAGACCAGTGCTTTGGAGGCCATGGAAGTATGATCCTGAAAACAGTGTGCATTGTGTGGCAAGTTCTTGGGTTCCTTGGAATAAAAAGTAAGGTCTTGTCAAAAAAAAAAAAAAAAAACAGAAAAGAAAAAAGAAGAAAGAAAGGTCAATGGTTAATCAAGGATGATTAGTTAGTCTATCAATAATAATTGCAGATATCTGCATGAATATGTAATTTTTCTTTGTCCAGTTAGTTAATTTGCTAATTACAGAATTTAAAACATATTTTTTGGGGTTGGGGCATGTGTAGCTACTGTCAGCCTTGCACTGTTTTATGGAGGGTCTAAATCAGTGAAGGATTTCAGTGATTATACTGCAAATTTTGGTACACGCTCATAATCCCATCTCTCTGGAGGTGGAGGCCCTAAGATCAGGAGTTCAAGGTCATTTTCAGCTACATAGCAAGTGTAAGGTCTGACTCTATTACATGAGATCCTGTTTTAATAAAAATGAGTAAATAAATAAAATTTAAAAAGTAAAGGCTAGCAGTTCGATATGCAAGTGTATAATATATTATAACTAATATGAGTGCAACAAAGGGGCACAAATTATGATTCAAGAAAGGTTAATGGCCGGGCGGTGGTGGCACACGCCTTTAATCCCAGCACTCGGGAGGCAGAGCCAGGCGGATCTCTGTGAGTTCGAGGCCAGCCTGGACTACCAAGTGAGTTCCAGGAAAGGCACAAAGCTACACAGAAAGACCCTGTCTCGAAAAAACCAAAAAAAAAAAAAAAAGAAAGGTTAATGAAAGAATATGATGTTATGATATTTTGAAGGATGAATTAGAATTAGCTAAGTGAAGAAAGAGGCAGGAGGAAAGAATAGGGAGAACAAGATGCAGATAGAGGTAATAATATGAATAAAGTGTGAAAGGGAAGAGAAGTAGGATTTATTTAAAGAACTGATAGAAATTCAGGAGTGCTAGATTGAGTACAAGGAGTAAAGACATTCAGTTACAGAGTTAAATAGAGACTAGATCATAACTTTTAAATCATGTTGAGGAACTTTGACTTTTATATTAAGAGAAGATGAGACTAACTGGGGGACTTTGTATGGTGAGAGTAGAATAGAAGGTAGCCTGAACCAGAGGACTAGTGGTTTTGATGGAGAGAAGTGGGATGTTTTAGAAGTCTCTTTATGAACTGAATAGAGATGAACAGGTGACAGTTTCTTCTGAGACTGAGGAAATCAATACTAATCCTAGGATTCTATATTGAGCTAAAAGAGAAGGAATGAGTTTAGAGGGTAAGGTGCTAGTCATATGTGATGTAAGAGATCCATAGTAATCCAATTACATGCAGTAAACATTTGAATTTAAGGGTGGGTTTAAGTCCCACATGTTTATTTCCAGAGCTGATCATTTTAAGGTGTTATTTTTTTTCCTTTTTAGTTATTTATAGGTTAGTACAAATTTCCTGAACTTAAGAGGCCTTAGATTACCAGAACCCCAGAAATAGGCAGTGATTTAGACTCTGCACTAAAGAGAACAAAATGTAAGCACGTGGGAAGCAGAGGTAGGTGGATCTTGGTGAGTTCAAGGCCAGCCTGGTCTACAAAGCGAGTTCCAGGAAAGGTGCAAAGATACACAGAGAAACCCTGCCTGGAAAAAAACCAAAAAAAAAAAAGTAAGAATATGAATTCAATATATTTTTGCATATTTTCTGAGGGTCATAAGAATTGCTCTCACAGACAGAAAAAAATTAAATATATGAATTTTCCTGTTCTTTGGTAGGATAATTTTAACTTAATAATGTTATAGAAACATTATTAGTCAATGGTTTATGGCATTTGAAGTGTGCCAAATTCAGTTCTCTATTACCAAGTAGGAGAGTCCTCTTGGATATTAGACATATAAACAAAATGTAGGGTAAATTAGAGAATTGCTTCAGAATTCAGCTCTGGTATAGAGTTCTTACCTTCAGAATTTGGTGAAACTCATTTTCCAGAAGTTCTTTCATCTCTTTTTTGCTCAACATGTCACATTCCCCATGTTCAGTGGCATATTGGTAGAAAACATCGATGACCGTGACAATGCCTTGCAGGAGTTTAGGCATCTTGTTGTAAATTGAAGTTAACCTAGATGGGGGAACAAGAGATCCATCTCTTAATGCTGAAACACATAAATACTTCAAGTCATTTGCAGTAATTATCGGGCATGATTAATTTTCTTCCTGTACTAATTGAGAATGAATCTGGAGTTGAATAACTTGTTCCAGATATGTAGCAAGAGAGTGATGAAATTAGAGCAAAAGCCCTATGTCTTACTTCAATTCCTGAATGAATGCAGGGGATACTTTCTGTGTTGGGCTCCCTGATTTATTCTTAAGCTATAGCAAACCTGAATGTGCTCATCCATCAACTCCTTAGTTGCTTTCTAGGTCTCAACCATCGCACTATAGGGGACAGACATATCCTCTATATAGTATGCCTAAATCTACCCAAAGATACCTAGTGGCTGACTTGGATTCTCAAAATTTTTCCAGGATAAATAAAGTAGGAAAAATGAGCCAAGCCAACCACAGTGTTAGGTGATAGGAGCCGAGGAAGCGCCTATCAGAAGAATGTTTTCATTCTTCATGTAGGGCTGTTCCTCAGGGCTTTCTGCTTATACTGCAGGGAGAAAAAGAGACAAACTGCCAGGGCTTACTAGGTTCCTAAACTCTTAAGGAAAGATATCAAATAGGTACTATAAACAGTGTGGTTTTATATCAAAGTTCACCATAATTTACTAAAAAAATAAGCTTACGAGTGTAATGTTTACTTTAGTATTTAATAGACCTAAATACTGAGTAGAACTGAAACTGCTCACTTACCTAAGTCACCAGAGGAACAGCAGGACAGAGATTGATGTTGCTTGCAGGGTGCTGCTCATTGGAAACACTGGCCTTTTTATAGAGACAATGATGGTCCATTTTAGGGAGGAGTTGCTTTCTTTGAGATGTCCTAGTTCACTCCTAAACAAGTCCAGCTCCTTCTCCATCTGCACCTCCCAGGTGTTTACCTTCTTACTTCCTTACATGTTAACTTGAGATTGCAATAGCAGTTCCCAAATCTGGGCTAGTATCAGCCCCACCTGTCAGACTCCCAGGACACTTTGCAGAAAGGTTTTTCTTTTTTAATTTTTTTAATTGTGTGTGTGTGTGTGTGTGTGTGTGTGTGTGTGTGTGTGTGTGTGTGCACCCAACTATGTAATGCCGCATTGACAGTCAGCATTATACTTTAAAGGACGTTCAATGGAATGACATGAGAACTTAAATGTCAAAAAATCATGGAATTTGATGTTTAGAAGAAACCTGAAATATCACTTAGTCAGATGCACCCATTTCAAACTAGTTTTATGTAAGAGTTTCCAGCCATGATTTTATCACCTCTTGTGAGTCAGTAGTGGCTGTAGAGAGGCTCTTCTTTTCATCTGTTTGTCTAACTCAACTTATCTAACTTACAACTATTCGTGAGTGTCACTTTCATTTTAACTACCATGTAACCATAGCAAGAAGCATATGTTCTCTAGGTCCCTCATGATCTTGCCTGTGGCTTCTCTTAAGTTCCATTGTTTCTATACATATATATTTACTTTTATGTCCATCTGGAGTTAATGACTTCAATATATCATGCTATTTCATCTTTTTTCCCCCTTAGATTACCTTTTAGCAGTATCTATCTACTGAGTTGCTATTCTTCACAATTAACTTTGGCCTTTCTGTAAGAAATGTTTCCAGTATTACTCAAGAGAGAATCATAACTTGTCCATGATTTTCAAGTTAATGTGTGAATGCATGGGTCCGTGTGTGTGTGTGTGTGTGTGTGTGTGTGTGTGTGTGTGTGTAGGCCAGAAGACAAATTTAGGTGTCATCTTCAGTAATGCCATCCATCTTCCATTTTCTTGTTTTCTTGACACAGGATCTCACTTTGTAGCCCTAGCTGGAACTTGCTACATAAATCAGGCTGGTCTTAAACTTGTAGAGATCTATTTATCTCTGCTTTCCTGGTGCTGGGATTAAAAGCATGTGTCACTAAGCCTCGTCTCAATGTTTCTTTCACCTTCTTTGAGACAGGATCTTTCAATGGTCTGGAACTCACCATTAACCTGGATTGGCTAGCTAGGGTTCCTCCTGTCTTCCTTTCCAGGGAGCTGGGGTTACGAACATGCTCGATCACACTCAGTATTCTTCCTCTAGAGTTCGAACTCTGGTCTTGATGCTTGTGAGACAAGCATGTTACTGGCTGAGCTATTTCCCTATTCTGATTTTATAGTTATGTCAACTATAATATTTCACAGTTTTTCAAATCACTTTATTATTATTATTATTATTGACAAGGTTTCTCTGTGTAGTTTTGGTGCCTATCCTGGATCTCACTCTGTAGACCAGTCTGCCCTCAAACTCACAGAGATCCCCCTACTTCTGCCTCCCGAGTGCTGGGATTAAAGACATGCGCCACCACTGCCCGGCCAAACCACTTTATTATTATTAACACTGTAAAAAATAAAAGATACAAAAATTGTGTGTGTATGTGTGTGTGTCTATTTGCTTGTAGAAGCTAGAGGTCAATTTCAGGCATCTTTCTTCATCACATTGCATCTTGTCTTTTGAGACAGGGTCTCCCACTGGAGCCAGTGGTCAGTAATTAGCTATACTGCCTAAACAGTGAGCTCTGGGGAGTCTGCCCCTCCCCCATGCTAGGATTACAGGTGCCCTGTGACCGTGCCTTTTTTTTTTTTTTTTTTTTTGACTTGGATGCTGGATCTGAACTTAAGTCCTCATAGTTGTGTGGTAGGCACTTTAGTGACTGAGCCATTAGCTCAGCCTCCAAACTAGAAAGTTGAAAATGCTTAGAGAGAAAGAAAAATTACAGTACCTGTAAATGTACTAGAAAGAAACATCCATCACTAATTATTTGATTTGCTAGTAACTTATTTCTTCACACAAATATTTTTCTATGCCTTATATAATTTCTAGACTATGACTCCTGCAGAACAGGAACTGGGCATTACTAATCCCTGTGTCAGCTAGAGAACTAGGCTATTGGTGTGTAAAGTTTCTCAAGAAACATTTGCCAGTTTGAGCTGAATTAAAAAAGGATCAGGGTATGCCTTCAGACCTCTGCACAGACCAACCTATACTTTTTTTTTTTTTTTCAGAACTAGGATCTCTCTATTTTCTTGCCTTATTTGGTGTAGAAGACATAATTTCACACGGATATCAGTTGAATCTTATTATTAAGAACTAACAAGCTACTCTTTGCTCACTCTTGAGGAGCTTGTCCCCAAATTCCATCCATTGTGAACAGATAACAAATTTTATTGAAGATATCTGAAGCTAAATGAACCCAAAATGTGTGTAATATAGTCATCAAATTTGAGAAGAGGTGGTAGCAATTATTGGCAAATGACAAATTACATGATTCCAAATTCAACTATCATTAGATTGTTTTTTTTTTCTCCCTGGAAACTACCCAGAGGGTGACAAGTCAGTGTCTCTTTCCCAGTCGTGCTTCCTTGGATGCCTGATTTGGGTCAGGTTGTCACACGGCATAAGAGCAATGACCTTCTTAAAGGTGTGACTGAGGCTGTGGGAGTGAAGGGGAGGTGGAATTTGCTGAGTGAAGAGTTGTTATTTCAGAGGCAGGAAAGAGTTGTAAGGAGGGCTGTTGCAGATGAACATGCCTTTGAGGCCAGTGTTCTCCTAAACGAGGTGTCAGCAAATTTTCTATAAATGGCTAGACAGCAAATATAATCAGATTTGTAGGCCAAATGATCTTTCTTGCAGCTATTCAATTCTACTATTCTAGCATGAAAGCAGTCATAAATAATGTATTTTAAAATTATTTTATTTTAAAATAGATGTTTTGTCTGCATATATGTCTGTGTGCCACGTGTGTCTGGTGCCCATGAAGGCTAGATGAGGGTGTTGGTTCCTCCAGAACTGGAGTTATCAATAATTGTGAGCTGCCATGGGGATGCTGGGGATCAAACCCTGGGTCCCCTGGCAGAGCAGCTTGTAAGTATTCTTAACCTCTGAGCCTTGTCTCCAGCCCCTAGATGATATTTGTGTAAAAGGTTTGTGTTTGGAAAGACATTTACTTATGGACACTGATTTTAGAATTCTGTATGTCATATAGTCTTTCAACCAGTTGTAAATGTAGAAAACAATCTTTATGGCAGCAGTTCTCAACCTGTGGGTCACAACCCCTTTGTGAATGACACGCTCACAGGGGTCACCTAAGACCACTGGAAAACACAGATTACACATTACACTTCATACCAGTAGCAAAATTGCAGTTATGAAGTAGCAATGAAATAATTTTATGGTTGGGGGTCACCACAACATGAGGAACTGTATTAAAGGGTCATAGTGTTAGGAAGGTTGAGAACCAGTGCTTTGTGGTCTGTGGACTTACATGAACTGTGGTGAGCTTGTGATGGCCTAAGAGTCACAGTTACCACCTCTTACTTCATTCGCTTGTCGGGAAGGTCTTCCAGGAGAGCAGGATCTCACAGAGAGAATAAGGCTGGGATGTGTGGCACGACAGAGCTGCTGACTCTCACATACCTATTGTTCACGATGTATGGAAAGAAGACAGAGCAATGTTACTTATAAAAAGGAAATATGTTTTGACCTGACGTAAGAAAGGAAAACTTTAACATCTGAACTAACTGAAAAGTCAGTGTGTTCTTTCTGAAATAGGTTGTTGTCTGGATAGTATATAGGGACTGCCATGTGTCCTATGCTTGATCTTTCAGTGCTTTGTTTTCTGAATGTCCTTTTCAAGCTAAATTTTGTCAAGTGTTATTTCCTGGTTCATATAACAAAAACAAGGTACCTATTGAAATTGTGCTCTGGCTCTTTCTTTCTATATTAAATATTACCAATGTGAGATTTTAGTCAGGTTGTCCTGGAGGTTCAAAAGCTAAGGTTCACGAATTCCTTAGTGTGTACTCCACAGTAGCAAGGTTGGGCAAGGAAACTTCTCCCCTATAATTTTAGTTAATGCTTTCCTTTTTTTTTTATTGATAACAGGCTTCAAGAGAAAAGATCCTTCCATTCCTTCTCTCCCTTCTTTCTGTCAGTAACAAGGTTTCATAGCCCAGGCTATCCTAGAGTGTGCTATATCCTCAGGCTGGCCTTGAATCTGAATTCTCTTGCTTTCTCCTTATGAATGTTGGTATTATGGGAAGTTGCTACCATGCCTTGCATGAGAAAAGGTTTTTATGGTATGTGCCAGGATCTAGTTTTTAAGTGCTTTTGATATGTTGAGAGGAGAAAAGACATTATTTTATCCTTTCTGCAAAGGCAGAGTGCACTGTGTGCTGATATACAGAATTTCTTTGAATGATGTGATTTACTTCAAACTCACTATTAATGAAGCACGATTCAAACTCCATCTACATATTCTTAGGAAGTGGTAAGCAGGCACTGTGTTTTGGAAAAGGTAGAGTTTTGGAGATAATTCTTGGGGATAGAATTTTGCTCCCTGTATAGGAAGAACTTAAGAGACAGAGTCTGGAGATGAAAATAGTGTCTTCTGGACATGATACAGCCATTCCATTCAGGAATTCACCACAGCTGTGGTTACAAGTACAAGATCGGACCTGTTACCATTTCACCTTGCATGGGGGAAAGGCTCATGAAGGTCACCTCTCACTGAGGGACTATGTGAAGTTACTGTGTGGTGTGGTGTGGTGTGTGTGTGTGTGTGTGTGTGTGTGTGTGTGTGTGTGTGTGTGTGTGTGTGTCATTTTCTCCAGTAGTATAGCCATTGAGAAGTTGTCCATGTTCCAATAAATAACCCCCAATTCCTGTTCATGAATCAAGCCATAAATTGAAGTTAGTAGGTGATGGGTTAGTAGTAGTTAGTTAGTTGGGAAGAAGTGGGAAGAAGAGTTTTAGTGGAAGAGAGGGGAATGGAAGGGCAATAGAGAGTGACAATGAACGAAATGTATGTGTGTGTGTAATTGTCAAAGAACGAGGAGGAATTATATTAGCAAGGGTCAAGACCATGATGGGAAACCCACAGAGACAGCTGATCCGAGCTAGTTGGAGCTCACAGACTCTGGGCTGACAGCTGGGGAACCAACATGGGACCGAACTAGGCCCTCTGAAGGTGGGTGATGGTTGTGTGGCTTGGGCAGTTTGTGGGGCTCTTGGCAGTAGGATTTATCCCTAATATATGAATTGACTTTTTGGAGCCCATTCCCTATCGGGGGATATATTGCTCAGCCTTGATCCAGGGAGGAGGGGCTTGATCCTGCCTCAACTTGATATGCCAGACTTTGTTGACTCCCCATGGGAGGACTTACTCTATCTCAGGAGTAGATGGGGGGTGAGGAGGGATGTGGGGAGGAGTGGAAGGAGGGGAGGGAGAGGGAACTGTGGTTGGTATGTAAAATGAAAAGAAAAACCTGGAAATAAGAAAAAAAGAAAAAGAAAAATTAAAAAGCCAACCTCAAATCACATTCAGAGCTTCTAATTATATAAAAGAATTAGATGCTGAAATAAATTGCTTCCTCAAACTGAAAATTTGTTCTTCAAGAATAAACTGAAACTCATTCCTGGTCTGGAAGCAGGTGAGATGAGTCTGTAGCACCATCTACTGGATACAGAGGGGATCCAGAACGTTCTGCCCGTTCTCTTTCTCCCATGTTGTTTCCAACAGTTCTTTGCAGCTTAAGCTCTATGAGATAGGTGGATGAGAGAGAGAGAGAGAGAGAGAGAGAGAGAGAGAGAGAGAGAGAGAGAGAGAGAGAGAGAGAGACAGAGAGAGAGAGACAGAGAGAGAGAGACAGAGAGAGAGAGACAGAGAGAGAGAGAGAGAGACAGAGACAGAGACAGAGACAGAGACAGAGACAGAGACAGAGACAGGAAGACAGAGATGCACACACAGAGGGACAGAGAGAGACAGTTACTCAGAGACGGAATATTTAACAAGCCACGATTATAAGGTAGTTTGTACTCATCCTCCTCAGCATACTTATGTGGTGTAAGTTTAAATAGTAATATTGCATAAGATTTTTGTTGTTTGGCAATAAGTGTTAAGTATGAAATAGTAAGTTTTTGCTGATTTTATATCCCACACACTCAAAACAGTACATTAGGTTTCCTAGTATCAGGTCACTGGGGCTGACTAGAATGCTTTAGAGACAGGACTTCTGAGTTTTTCTTTCAGCCAATCTCACTGGGTGAGAATTGATAATAACAGATTTTGAACAAGTAGTGAGTTTTTCACCTCTTTACCTTATTTTATAAATTTTAAGAGTGGACACAGATGTAAACTGGTAGATAATCGAGGACAGAACTTTAGGGAACACAAACATGGGAGTACAAAGGCATGTAAATAAGCACAGAGACAGAGGAGTTAAGATAATCTGCAAGAAGCTACAAAACTCCTGTTTTAAAGGGTTGAAGAGCAAATGGAAGATAGGAGAGTCAGAGACAGAGAGCCTCATCTTAAGCACCTTTGCTTCTCCTGTGCTGGCTCATCCTCATGGTCCATGGGCAGAACCAGAGCAAGAGTTAGTGGTTATCTGGCTTTGAAGCAGCCCTGTGTGCTGACATTGCCTCCTGATTAGCTGTATTAGATTAGTACTATTTCTTAAGTTGGACTTACATCATCCGTAGGTTGTTTGTGACCATCACTTTGATGTTACAATTGTGTTTCATTGACT